GCCGGGCCAGCCGCCGTCGAGCCCGCCGAAGCGGCGCTGGCGGCGACGGCGGCGGCGTCGGCAGGGGAGGCGCCGTGGGAGGGTGCCGCTGCCGCGGCTGCCGCGGCTGCCCCCGCTGATGGCAGCTTTGCTGCCATGCAGATCGCTGCGAACAACAGGCTGGATGCCTAGGCCCCCACCAGGCCCCCACCAGGCCTGCGCGTTCCAGGGGCGTTCCAACCGGTCCTCTCTCGGACGCAAGCCTCATGTGTTCTACTGTGGAGGAGTGTGCTGTGGGGAGAGCTAGGGGAGAGGCGAGGATGGTTTCATTGGTTACAGCAGTTCTGCTATTGAGTATAGCCCCGTGTTCCCGGGCATTCACACTATATTTCGGAGATAATTGGGCGATTATATCCATAAAAGGGATTTCATCCCTTTTTGGTTTGGAGATTCGTGTTTCGGTTTCGGTTTTTGGTAAATCGTATACAGCACTCTTCGTCGCGATGCGGCCCCTGTCTTTGCTCCTGCTCCTATGCGAGAGCTATGGCATACGCCTATGGCGGGACCGCTATCGGTTATGGCTTCTCCACCGGCCAGTACGGCCTCGACTACTGCATCGCCGAGGCCGACACCACCATCGGCATGACAGCGTCGACCGCCATTGCACCTCCAACGTGTGCGCTGCCATGGACAAATCGTGCACTCTATATGCCAGTCACCACCTATGTGCGAGCACAACCCCACTCGAGCCGAAAGATCTGAACAATGCGTTCAGTCGGTCTCTTCGAGCACGTTCGAGCCTGCCGTTCACGTCGACAATCCAATTCTGAAAATTTTGTCGATAAACTTTGAACTTGGGCCAGAACACCCCGAGGACATGTACATGTGTGCCTCGCCCCATGCCCGCAACTAGACCCTTGGGAAGTCGGCGCGCCGTGCTCTTTGCGGGCGGCTACTTTACGATGGTGATGATGTGGCGGCGGCGGGACAGGCTCGAGGCGACACGGATCGATACACCATTTGCGAGCATTTGCGAGCATTTGTTTCTCTCCGAGTACCGAGAACCGCCGCCGTCATCACACCACGTCACATGACGGGTTCATGATTGGGGATGGCCTATTTGCTGTAGACAGATCACACACCAGTCACCACGTCACATGACGGGTTCATGATTGGGGATGGCCTATTTGCTGTAGGGAGGGGTGCAAGAAATGTGAAACGCTTCGGATTTGTGAAACGCCAGTCTCGACTTTTTTCGCGAGCCACAGGCGCTCGCCCTGTGAGCCACAGCGCCTCCGGACAGCGTGCCGAGCGCCTGCTACAGGCCTGCCTGCAGCCCAGCCGCAATTGCTGCGGCGGCAGCTAGTCGGTTCGGCCTGGACTCGCGCGCCGAGATGGGAACCCAACACACGGCGCGTCGACCCGCCTACGCTTTTGCAACAAAGTCTGCTTGGCTTGTGCAGGTGATGCCCAGAGCAGCAGAGACGACGCCGGCAGCCTCGGCTCGACCTCGAAGGCGGATCTCGTGGCCAAAAACCTGTGCTCTATTCGTCGGTGGTTCACAGTAGACGTCTGTGTAGGGAAGCTCTCGCGTCGACTACGGCCGCCGAAGACTGTCTATGAGGGCACACCCGAGGAGGCGCCGATTTCAAGCACCGTGCGGCGGTGGCCAGGTCACAGGCATCGGCTGTGACCCTGGAGAGTCGAGCAGCGGCACTGAACTTCCCTACAGGTCATTCCAGCGACCCACGGAGTACGGTCTCAGCGCGCAATCACTCTACTAGATCCCATCCTTGCCGGGCCTCTGCGAATGTAGGTACCGAGTTCATGCGTGGCCAGGTTGCAGGCCCATACTGCCTGGTCTCCAGCACCTATGATCACCGCGCCAGGCCGCAGTCGACGACGTTTGTGTGCGCTGGCCGCACTCAACCGTTGAGTCGCGGTGTATCAGTCTGACCACACTCGGGACCGCGTAGGCGATGTGGGCGACTCTGGCCGTCCTGCATATGACCGACCATGACCCAGGAGGAGTGTACACGAGATATATCGTACATGGCTGGCGTTCTCGCGGCAGCACTATCGCGTGCGGCCGAGTGCGAGCTTCCGTGCCCGGTGCCAGACGCACTCGGCGCCAGACGTCCTCGGGAGCTCGCAGTTTTGCCATACTTGCCTGCCCTCCCACTGGCTCGGCGCTCCTGGTCCCCACCCTCGTAGGCAAGGCTGAGCGACCCCGAGCTCCAGGGCGCCATCGCCGTGCTCGGCGGCGCCGCCAAGGGCGCGAAAGACGCGCTCACAAAGGACTAGACGCGCTGCTGCTAAAGAAGCCGGGCACGCTCGTCGCGAGAAGTGGCTGCCGCCGCCGTCGGGAGGGCGGCAGCCACTTCTCGCGCTGCCCAACGCGCCTTCGCCGACCGCCGCGCCATCGCCGATGCCGTTGCTCGCGCTACCGGCGCCACCGGCCGCGCGGGCCGCGCTGGCGGCGCCGCCGCCGGCCGCTGCGGCTCCGCAGAAGCGATCCCTCGCGCAGAATCGCCCTCGGTGCCGCGGCGGGCCGGGGGAGAGGGCGTGAGGGTGTCTGTGGTGGGTAGGGGCCCCTTGCCCATCGGGTCGCTGCGCGCTAGAGCAGCGGCGGCCCGCCTAGGGGGCTCAGGGCGGCCTGCCGGAGGGTGCCCCTACGGCTTTAATGTGAAACACCTCCGGGGGAGGCCAACTTTGAGTGGTTGTGCCGAGTACTGTTTAAGGGTTGTGGGGCTGCTGTGGGCGGTTTTGGGCGTCCCTGGGGCACCCTCTGGAAGGGTCTGGCCCGTTGGTTCGGGGGGCGTCGCGTCTAGGGGGTGTATTCACACCTCAAAAATCGTTTCACGGAAGGTACACCCCTCCCTACCTGTAGACAGATCACACGACCCCAAAGAGCGGGGCCTCCCTGGTCCCACCTGAACCCGCACCGCGGCCCGGTCTCACTCCCTCCTCACTTGGCAGGGACAAACGCCATGGCGCCCGCGTTCATGCAGTAGCGCTTGCCCGTCGGCTTGGGGCCGTCGTTGAACACATGCCCAAGATGCGCGCCCGAGGCGGCGTCAATCACCTCCGTCCGAATCCCACCCATCATCAGAGCCCGCCGCGCGTCAGCAAGATCGCCTGGGTCGAGACGCTCAATCACGCCACCGGGCACCGGCGCGGAGAACGAGGGCCAGCCCGTGCCGCTGTCGTACTTGGTCTCAGATTCGAACAGCGCCTTGCCGGAGAGAGCACCTACCCAAGTTCCCTTCTCCTTCACGTCCCACGCGTAGCCGTTTACCGTCTTGCCCGTGAAGGAGCGCTCGGTCGCAGCGTCCAGAGAGATGGCCCGCTGAAAGTCGGTCAGCTTCTCCGCCGCACGGAGAACCTCCTCCTTGGGCAGGGAGCCCTCGCCGGCGAAGGCAAGCGCCGGCTGCGCCGAGCAGGCTGCGGCGGCGGCAGCGGCAGCGGCGCATGCACCCTGCGAGATGACGCCGCGGCGGCCTGCCACAACGGCGGGCCTCAGACCAAAGGCCTCGGCTGGTAAAGCGGCGAGCGCGACGACGAGCGCGTTGGCGGCGAGCATAGAGATCCCGTTGCCGACAGACGCAGAAGCCTGGCGGTCGGTGCCCGTGCATAAAGAAAATTTATGCAGATCTGCAAGAAATGCACGCCTTCCGAGCGGGGCGGGGTCCCCCCTCTCCCTCTGTGTTCGTGTGCGTCGCCCATCTCTCCCTGGAGATGACTGCTCTATTTATTTATTTATACTCCCTCGCCCAACCCTGAGCAGGACTGGCGTGCACTAAAGAATTCTGCGATTTTTTTTCTTCTCATGGGTCGCCATGGCACTCCCAGCACGCGCACACATCGCCCGGCCTCGGCCGGTGCGGCTGGGGGCCACCACAAAGCTCCGGGGTGGGGTGGGCTCTCTTCACAGCCGAAAAAGGCCGACATTTGTCGCCAATCGACAGGTGTAGGTTATTTTTGCTTGGGCGGCACTCATGCCGGGGTAGGTAGGGTAGGTCTGGGCCCTCCCGTTGGGTTTTTCCCTCTCTTCACGCCGGAATTTTCACAGCAGAAAAAGAAATCTTCCGCCAAAATCACGATGTCAACCCTCCCCAAATGGGTGATCTGATGCTTGTAGGGCTTGAGAGTGGCCTGCCATGTCACAAGAAGGACTGTGGATGCAGGAGAGTACCACCAACCATCACTTTAGTTGGTATGTGGTACCCCACCTTCACCCCTCGAGCGATTTCTTTTTTAGTTTCCCATAAGTAGGGTAGGTAGGTAGGTAGGTAGGTAGGGGCACCGCAGGGGCCGGCCGGGTTTTTCCAGAATTTCAGCATGAGTGCCGCAAAAGCAAAAATAACCTACTCGTCGAGTACAAATGCAATCGAGCTCCTTTGCTAGGCGACAGCTGTCGCGCGGCCCACCAAGGCGGGGTTGTCGCACGGCCGAGGTACGGCTGCCTCGTTCGTCCGTCACGGCCGGCCTGAGAGCGCTGGCACCGCCTCCGAAGCCGTCCACGGCGAGTGGCAGGGCCTCTGCGGTGCAGCGAAGCGTGCTGAATTCAGCCGTTCGAGCATCGCTGGAGTGAGGCGTTCTCTTCTTGCCGGTTATCTTCTTGGCGGCGTGCCGCGTGCATACTACGTGACGGTGTAGGCGCGTGGGCTCGCCTAAAAGGCTCGCACCTGTCGGAATTGTGGCGCGAGCTCTTCCGCCTCTGCTCCAGAGGGTACAGCGACCCAATGGATCCAGTCCAGCGATCTCAGTTCGTCTGTTGAGGGCGCTCCTCCGCTCCCACCGTTGCACTAGGTAGTGCTGCCGTGTACTGGCGCCAGCGAGCTCCATTCAGATCCCGCACGCGCGATCGGCAGTCGAGTTACAACCCGCAGCTGTGCAGTGCGTGCGCACCACGAACCGTTGTTCGGCGATATCTCGGCTCCCGCCCCTCGACTCGCGCTCGGACGCGAGGTGCGTGCTCGCCTGCCCCCCCGGGAGGGGACACGGCCTTTTTGAGCGAGATCGGGGAAATCACCCTCATCGCCCACCACTCACGCCTCCCTCCCTCTCCCGCTGCCGCCGTATCCGGTCCTAGCCTGCGATACATTGAGACCTCACGCCCCGCGACTGTCTCCCACGCTCGCAGGCGGGCCTATCCGCCGTGCCACTCCATGCATGATCATCGCTGGGGGCAGCGGTGCTCGTGCGACTGCGA